AATAAAATTTTTTAAAAAAATAGTAAAATCATAAAATTCAAAGGAGGACTAAGGAATTTTTCCAGGTTAAAGGAAACTGAAGAGGCAAGATACAAAACCTGTTTGGATTTTTTTGCTAAGAAAGGCAGTTTTAGACAGGAGGTGGCATTAGAATGGGATTTCTGGTGTAGGTAGGTTTTTGATCTGTCCTTTCGATTACCTTTCATTTGAGAAAGAAGAAAAATTATCCACCCACATCCTCCTTAAAGTTCGCTGTTTTTCAGATTATTAAAGAATGTTGCTTATCAGATAGTTGAAACAGTACAAATAAGGTAAAAAGTAAAAATCCCACATATCCAGATTCCATTCCCTAGAAGCCACCTGCTTTGTTGATAATTTGTTGTGCTTGTTCAGATTTTATAAATGCCCATGTTTTTGTTTTTACAAAAAGCAAACTCCTGTAGATAGTATTTGACCTCCCTTCCTTAATAGTCTGCATAGCATCCCATTGTATGGATTATTTTATCCATTCCTGTTAGTGGGTTCCAGTTTTTCATTACAAAAAGAAGTTGCAGTGAGCACCTGTTTGACTATGAAGAAGAGAGGCAGGACTATGGCTCCATTTCTAGCTGGCTTGGGTGTTCTTTGCCCTCTGGTGCTTTCATCACAGCCAAAGGGAGAGAAGAAGCTGAGGAAAAAGAACTTGACCAGTGGGACAGCTTTAGTTCTAGCCCTGCAGACATTTACTTATCCTCTAGGTCAACACTTTTGTCTTCCAGGTGAGAGAACTGAGGCCCAATGAACTTTGATTGGCCAAGGATCCCATGTAGTAGTGTTAGTACTCACAGCCTCCAGCTCTATTCTAGTGCAGTTCTCCATCACCTCATAAAAATATAGCCTTCTCTACCTCAGAGAGCCTGTGAGATTCTGAGGCAAGGTGTACATTTTACACATTATCTCTTGAATGCCTGAAGAGAGCTAGCATACAGAGAATAGTCAGAAAGTCCATTCTCAGAGGATGTAGATAAGAGACTTTTTCTCTCTGGCTTATTATTGGTTCCTAGAAAGAATTATGGTTTGTCCCCTCAGCCTAACTTAACTCCAATCATGCTGGAAAGCACCATAGGATCTAGAAAACATGGTACTCTTGGTCAGTTTCTCAAAGACCAACAGATTTAAAAATGAGTCACAGAATTGGAGTTTTCTGAAGGTGCTGATTTTTATTTTCTTTTTACTGATTGCTTGTGTGTAATAGCATCAAACATTTCCGTAAACATCATCAACCTAAGTTCATCACTGATGATTAGATTCCTCCTGCACACTCCTAGCCTTGTCTACATGACAATACACCACGTGTTCCCAGGGCACCACCATCGTCCTCACCACACTTCAGAAGGCGAGGCACTGCTCCTCACACTAGCACAGCTCCTATCTCCAATGGCTTCCTTCCTCCCCACCCCCGTGCTGGGCTTTCTCAGTTCATCACAACGGCAGAGACTCCAGATGACGTTCTCCATAATATGATCTCAGCAGCCACGAGACAAACTCAACTTCAACTTCTTCCTTCTTATAACTGAATCTGGGAAGAAAGGTGGTACTAACAACCAGAGCTGGGCCAGATCCATCTTTGGCCCTCAGTGTTGGCCCAAGAGGAGACACAGGAAGCAGGAGAACTTAAGTTCCCATGACCTGGGCTCAAGTCCTGGCCACAATTTCTACCAGTTGGCTGCCAATAGGTGGTTGGTCACTTAACGTCTCTAGGCCTTAGAGTCTGCTTCCGATCACATCATCTAATGCCAGCATGTTGAATGAGTTACTATGACATTTGAAAACCCTAAAGTGCTGTGCACGGCTAAGATGGATTGAGGGAAAGGAGTGAGAGTGGGATAAAAGAAAGGCAGAGTGAACAGTAGAAAAGAAAGGTGGAGATTGAAGTGGCAGCCAACAGCAGCCCAGGCACTGGGGCCTCTGACCATGAGGGTCCTGGGCATCTCTTCTGGGCTCAGGTTTGGGTTGAAATGATGTCACTCGTGGTTCAGTTCTGTCCTCTGAACTACACAGAAAATGGTCAACAGACACGACTGGGAGCCAATCACTGAAAAGCTCCTAGAGAATCAATAATCAGACTGAATACCAAGACAGCTACCATTTATGTTATTTTCATTCCCAGGATTACTTTGAAGCCATTAAATCTTTGCCTTATATATGGACAGAAGATAGGTTGCCGAGGGAGTTCCCAGCTTGGTCCTGACACAAGCCATGTCTTCATACTTCCTTAAGCCACAGAAAACTTGAACCAGGTGGTGTGGTTATACTCCTCGCCAGGCCTCAGCAGCACAGGAGGGAAGTTGGGCTGTAAAGGAGAAAACCCAGATTACACATGGTCAGCCCAGGTGACGCCATCACCATTCACAACTCCTCACATGCAGCGTTCAGGACCGACTGGTACTAGACATGTAGTCTATAGACCCTTTGCCATTACAGTTACTGATTTGCACAGAGATAAAGAACTTGAGCCAGAATGAACATCAGCTGTATCCTTAACCAAGACTTTTGTTGATAAAAGCAGCAATGGGTTGAGTCACATTCTGGTGCAAGCTTCCTTATCACTGACTGGCACTCTCTGGAATATTACTCTAGTCTCTATCTAGAAAGGAAAGTTGTGAGCGAACAGAAAAGGAAAAGAAACTATGAAGAATCCTTTTAAAAGTGTGGATGCAGAAAAATGATCAGGTATTGAACAGAAACATAAAGTTGTTAAAAGCCTTTTAAGTACAAAACGTAATCTTATTTTCTTAAGCATGCTAGTAACTTGGTCCAAGATTTCCTGTGTTTATTGTGTCTTTGAGAGCAAACATGGATCTTTTGCATCAAAGGGAACTGCGAGTGTGCTGACCTCTGTGATACAGCCTGGCCTTAGCCCCACACCCCTCTGATAAGCCAGTGTGTGGCTTTACCTGATTGACAGCATTGGGCCAGTTCTGGGTCTCAAGGCAGAAACCAGAATGCTTGGGATAGCTGGCTCCACTCTTCCCCTTGAGCGTGCCATCCAGGAAGTTGCCCGTGTAGAACTGGACGCCAGGCTGGGTGGTGTACACTTCCAGTACTCTTCCACTGGGGGCATGGTGGACCCTGAGGGTGAAGCCAAACCAACTGTAAGGCTAGGGCCGAAGAGCAGGCAGGGAGAGTAGACACGGGGAAGCTGTCTGAGGCGAGGAACCAGGCTCGGCCACTGCACAGAGTCGGGGTGTTTGAGGTGAGGAAAAAGCATGATGGAGGCTCACGGCCTCGCAGGTGAGGAGCCTCTGGCTGGCTTTGAGGATCCTCAGTAAGAGCAACTTCTCCCTCTGGTCTTTGCTTTGTGGAAAGACACAAAACCCTCTCCTCAGCCAGATATGGGTGGGAGGGGATGACCAAATCGGACAGAGGCAACTGAGGGTCCTGGAGGGGCTGAGATGTTTAGTGACCAAAAGCTGGAGCTCTCTGTGAGGCCTGGGGAAAACAGCAGCGAAGCCTCATGAAACAAGAGCTGCTTTTCCTGAATTAAATGGCCCCCTTCTCTGTGGGTTGAGCAGGCTACTATTAATCAGCTCACTCTCTGAACAGTTCTGCTGTTGAAGTCCACGAGACTGGCTGCTTTCCCCACCTCTCTCTCTCTTTTTTTTCCATCGAGCAGCTTTTTAGTGAGAAATTGTCCAGCAATTTCAAAAGGATACAGATAAAGGCTTAGGACTGGGTCTTCCTATCTTACCGAGAGGCAAAACACACGCGTGTTAAATAAGCCACACAATGTGTGGTCAACCAGGAAATTGAGGGAAAGAGAAGGATTTGAACGGAGAGATGGCAGGGTGGGGACCGAAAGGGGAGGAGCAGAGCCCAGACGGACTGCAGAGGGTTTTGATCGTAGCTTTTCTTTGAGAGCTTCAATTCTTTTCCTCTGCTGTAGCGAAAAATCTATTTATCCAACACATATTTACTCATTGCAAGTGTCAAGTACCCTACTTTTCTTAAAGATGGAGGAAAGGTTTTCCAAAATTGAAATAGCAGGAGGAGGTTGGAAGATAGTGTGAGGGTGAGGGTGTAAATGCCTGTAAAGTCAGCGGGAGGTGGTGGGTGCTGAGTGAGGGAAGAGCAGCCTCCAGCTGCCCAGGGAAGAGTAGGCGGGGCGTCATCACAAGTCAAAGCACAAGGGGTGTTCAAGGGGGAGGCAAGCTCAGTGAGGAGGCTCCTAACAGATAATGGGCCTTAAAGAACAGGCAGAGGTGGGAGAGGGGACAGTATTTCCACAGAGCTCTCTACTACAGTGAGAACTTTGAGGAATGAGAACAGGGGCGGGGGTGGGTTGGGTGGCACAAATGGTTAGTTGCCCACCAATAAACCGAAAGATAGGTAAAAACGGAACCCACGTAAGGGGCGCCTTTGCAGAGGGGCCTGGGGCTCTGCTTTCAGGAGGTTACAGAGCCTTGAAAATCCTAGGGTACAGCTCTGCACCCGCACGCAGGGACAGGAGTTGAACTGGCTCCACTGATGCTAACAGCAATAGCGGCACAGTGGTAAATGCTGTAGATGTGGTCGCAGGGAAGGCTCCTCAATTAATGGCAGGTGGCTCCCCTACACATGACCTGACCTTGCGCAAAAATGCTTTTCTTTAGATCTCTTCAGGCAGAAATTATGGTCAAAACCGCCAATATGGAACTCTTGCAGGTGCTTCCCAAGCTCCACTGGCTTTGTCAGGTCAAACGCAGTTCCTTGCACAGGAACAATTTCTCCTGGTGGAAAGAGGCAGAAAAAACACGCTGATAAATACTCAAATAAAAGGTTTAGATACAATGTCCTACACAGCAACTTGGTTCTATTCTCTCAGCTTTCATTTCAATTTCTACAGAATTTGGGAGCCCAGATCCTAAGAACCTGAGTAGAGTTAGTTACTAGATTTCATTAGTTACTAGATTTCATAAGGTGCTACTGACTGCAAGATGCAAAATCTATTTAACACATATTCTAATTTAAGAACCAAATATGAAGTTTGGATAAAAAATTAAGGAAACATCTCCAATCAGGGCTAAGTTGGATAAAGTGTGATTTATTCTTACCACCTTTTGTTGTTGTTATGTACTGTCAGGGTGAGTATAGTTCACAGTGACTCTAGGTACAATATCTCTGAATCCTACCCTGTCCTGAGCCAATCTCACCCTCTCTGACACACCTACCCTCTTTACCCCCAGTTACTGTGTCAATCCATCTCATCCGGGGTCTTCCTTTCCTGTACTATCCCTTAACCCTTCCAAACAACATCCTTCTCCAAAGACTGGTCTCTCCTGGCAACATGCCTGAAGTATATGACATGGAGTCTCAAAAATCTTAGCCTCCGAAGAGTAGTTTGGCTTCACCCTCTCCAGAGCAGACCTCTTAGTTCTTTTAGCAGCCCATGGTATGTTCAATACTCTTCTCCAGCACCACAGCTCAAAGACATCACAATAGTCGCTCCCGGAATTGACCATTACTTGCTGTCATGCTGCAGTATCTCAAGGCTCATCACCAAACATTACTGCCTGGCAGTGGCCACTCACACTGACAGAGTCTCTGATGCTAGTGATTCTCAAACCACTTTAGCCATAGTATCATTAGCAACCACTCTGGCCTCAGTCATCTCCCTGAAAGGCATTGTCCAAAAGGTATGTGGACCTATTCACAGTGATCCTGGGGCAGACAAGAGCACACTGGGCTGTATGCCCACCCTGGCGTTAATGGTGTTAGACTCTGAATCAAAACCACTGTGGAACACAGCAAAGCCCCTACTGATCCCGCTCCATCCTCACAATCTCTGCAGTGCTGTGCCTGTTGCTGCTGTAACCGTGTCTGTCCACCTCATACATTGACAAGAATGATGGTCTCCTCCTCCTCCAGGTTCTGGCCCCTGCTGGCAATATACCCCAAGCATTTGAGCAGAGTCAGCATCAATGCTTCTAAGGCACACTCTGGCCAAACATCTTCCTGGACAGATGTTTATAAATTCTTTTGACAGTCCATGGTACATTTAGTATTCTTTACCAATGCCACAGCTTAAAGACACCAATTCTACTTTAATCTTCTTTATTCTTTGTCCAGCTTTCACATGCGTAGGAGGCAACTAAAAATATCATGGCTTGGGTCAAGTGCACCTTAGTCTTTAAAGTGACATCCATAGTCTTTCTCTATTTCTTTCAGGGAAAGATCCATCTCTCTTTCTTTCTCTGAGATGTATCTTTTCTAATAAAATTGTCTTTCATTTTACCTTTTTTAAAAAAGAGACATCTTTGTGTAGCATTTTAAAGAGATCCTTGGCAGCAGATTTGCCCAATACCATCATGCCCACTGTACTATATGCCAATTTGAGATTCAGTCCCTTAAATGAAAGCTTTGCATCTCCGTGAATGATTCCTGAGTTACAGTCAGGCAATCACTGCTTCCTTATGTCTAAACCAGATTCCTTAAGCTCCCAATTCAAACTCACAGCAGTCAGGTAGGAACTGACACATAGCTGACCCTCCACTGGTTTCTGAGGTTGTAAATCACATGGGAGGGACTTTCTGTGGAACTGCTGGTTGATTTGAACTGTCGGAGAGGCATAGCTTTGGATTGGCAGTTCAACTCCCTACAGACAAAGCCACCCTCCTCGGCTCCTGGTGTCCTTTATGTTTTCTTCTTCTCATGGCTGGTCCTGGAGCGTCATGTGAGTAAGTGGGATCCTGTGGGAGGAGACTGCTGTGTGGGGATCCTGGACTCTTACAGGACAAAACACAGAAGGAATCTGCACAGGAATCCTGTCCTTGAAGTCACTGTCCCATTAGAAAGATCCCTTCCAGGTGTCATGGGACTCAGGTGTGCTGATGTGGAAGAAGTCTGAGCACCCCGAGTTGAAACTGCTCATGCATTATCGGGACCTGGTGTCATGGAACTCAGGTGTGCTAGGGTGGAAGGGGTCTGAGCACCCTGAGTCCAAACCACTCATACAGTACAGGAATAAAGAAACAGACCCACATGATGCATGACACAACAACCAGAGTCTTCATAGAAACTAAGTGATGGTGATGCTTATCACCAATGACACCTCAAAGTAGACAACGTAAATGAAATCGTGTGTTAACGTCTTCTGGCTTACCACAACCCCTAAGCAAGAATCAGAGAATTTCAGGGAGAAAAAGAGGAATGTGATTGTTTCAGGAGCCATTTCTATCAGAGATTCAGTGGAGCCAAACTGTTAGCAGACAGCCCTTTAAACTCACTTGCCAAAAAAGCTGTATCATGGTTTTACATTCTGGAAAAAATAGCGTTTTTACATTTGGTGCGGGGTGGGGGGGAAGTAGCATTTTGCTCCATCACTTCTCATTCTCTTACTAACTTCTTTCTTCTCTTCTCTAGAGGCTCAGGCCCAGCTATTTCAAATTCGTTGTTTGTTGTTATGTGCCGTCGAGTCGTTTGCGACTCATAGCGACCCTGTGTACAACAGCCCTAAACTCTGCTCTATCCTGTGCCAATTGCACTGCCTCTGACACACCCATCCCGATTACCCCAGTCACTGAATCAATCCACCTCATAGAGGGTCTTCCCCTCCTGCGCTGTCCCTCCACCCTCCCAAGCATGATGTCCTTCTCCAAGGACCGGTCTCTCCTCACAACATGTCCAAAGTATGTCAGACGAAGCCCCAGAATCCTTGCCTCCAAGGAGTAGCCTGGTTTAACCCTCTCCAGGATGAATCTGTTTGTTTTCTTGATAGTCCGTGGTACATTCAATACTCTTCTCCAGCACCACAGCTCAAAGGCGTCAATTCTCCTTCTACCCTCCCTAGTCATTGTCCAGCTCTCTGATGCACAACAAGTGACTGCAAAGACCATGGCCTGTATCAGGCGGACCTTAGTCTCCAGAGACACACCGTTGCTCTTGAGTACTTTAGAGAGGCCCCTAACAGCAGATTATAAATGTTTTAGATTTAGCTCAGTTAATGAGGCCATAAGGAATGTAGAAAGTGGTCATAAGTGGGGAAGACCAGAGAGCCAAATCGAGGGTTATAAGGCACCATTACTTCCTCTCTGTTGGCATGTTCTCAGAGTGTGTCAGCAACAGATCAGCTGACTGGGAACTGTCCCTCAGTCATTCTTTTGTTCAATTGAGACTTGTTGTTGTTATGTGCCGTCGAGTCATTTGCGACTCATAGCGACCCTATGTACAGCAGCCCTAAACCCTGCTCTATCCTGTGCCAATCTCATTGCCTCTGAAACACCCATCCCGATTACCCCAGTCACTGAATCAATCCACCTCATAGAGTGTTTTTCCCTCCTGCGCTGTCCCTCCACTCTGCAGGATTTATTGTATTAAGGAGGTAGGATTAACTGTATTAAGGAGATAGGATTGGGGTGGAGTACAACCCCCACCTTACTAGAAGGGACCACCCAAGTCCCACCCTTAGCTCTCCTGGAGGTGGGCTTTCGAATGTTCCTAGGTGACTTCAAGGCTCGTTCACTTGGGCCATTTCATCTAACCTGATCCAGCTGTGCTGACAGTGGACAATGGACAACCTCAGCCTGCAGGTTCCCTTTGCTCATCAGTTTCTGTGGCCACATTCATCAGCCTTCCTCATCCACAAATCATGTGAGCCATTTCCCCAATGGGTTTTGAGTTTCTGAGAAGTCCAGGCAAATCACAGAACCCAAAGCCGTTGACAGGAGTGAAGGGACTGAAGAAGGAATTTAAAAAAATTTTTTTTCTGTGTGTGTGTGTACTGTCAAATTGGATCCAACTGGCACAGGAGGAGATTGCCCCTCCTTCTCCAGCAGAGCATCTGGTGGATTTGAACTGTGTACCTCTGGGATTGCAGTACAGCTTCTTGCCACTAGGCCCCCAGAGCTTCCCTGAGAGAAGGAATTTGTAATGTTAGAGATGATGGGTGGTACAGAAGTTTGAACACTTGGAACAGTGAGAATCCCTGCCTTACGAGGACTGGCCGTGTGCTAATCAGTGTAAAAGAAATGAATTGTGCATATGGTATGCCAGGCACTGACAGGCAGGAAATTAGTGAGACATGGCACCTTCCTGCAGGAAGGGAAAGACAAACAAGAATACTGCATTAGTGTGGAGAGGGCTGCAGTGCAAGCAATGCTAAGGGACGCTCTGACTGCACTTCTTCCTGTGTGGACTGGTTTGCTATTTTGACAGCCATGGAGTATGCAATATTCTCTGTCAACATCAGAGTGCTGTAGGAAAGCCGTGATTGAGAGCTTTGGGGGATTTAGAGGATGGCAGATAGGAAATTCCATAGATGAAATACTGAGGTTGAATCAAGGACTGAGGTATGATAGTATTAGGTTGAAGGAACCCCTGGTTGGTAAAAAAAATTACGTTCGACCACCAGTCCAAAACTTGGCAGTTCATATCCAGCCAGAGCACCTCCACAGACAGGCCTGGTGGAATGCTTCAGAAAAGCCACAGCCTTGAAAATTAGGAGGACCAGCGCTCTCCACACATCAGGGGTTGCTCTGGGTTGGAACTGACCAGACGGCAACTAACAGTAACAGTGTTAGGCTGAGAGTAAAGAGAAAAAACAATATTTCTGTGCAAAGACCAGTTTGACTACAAAACAGTAGGACATGTGTGTATTTGTGAGGTGTGAATGGAGAGGACAAAATGCCTTTAATGTGGCAGGAAAGAGATTAAGTTTTGCTAGTGAAGTAATTTGTCAGAATCTGGTACCATGAAGAAACTGGACTAAATGATCAACTGAGGTTTGCAGTTT